CCCCTTAGAGCGACCAGCTTTGTTTTGACTTTTTGACTTTTTTGCGTCCCAAGGGTGCGCCCTTGAAACTCACTCAAGGGCGACACAGCCCAAAAACAATCGCCCTTGAATTCAAGTCACCTCCCAGAGGTACCTTGAGTTCAAGTGGTAGCGGATACTGCCAACACTCCAAGTGGGGCCTTTTTTTGTTTTTCTTTTTTTTTTCCGGCAGGCGATCCTGATCCAGGATTGCTCAAGCGGTGGAGTTCAGTTTCTTATTCTTCTTCTTCTTCTTCTTTTTTTTTTTTTTTTTTCAAGTGAAGAGATAGTGTTCAAGGGTTTCCTCAAGTGCACCGTGACATGGAACCATAAATCCAGTAGGTGTAAATTAATCACAATTTCTCGCTTAGTGTGCAATTGAAAAGTTTTTTTTTTTTTTTTTTTTTTAAGAATAATCTATATTCTTCTCACAATCTATTTCATCTTTCTCGGTAGTACGCATCTATCTCGTCCTCTCACTAGTCTATGTATAGTACGGGGGAACAGCAACCAACCCGGATCTCTCCCCAGCCCACGGGGTAGGTTTGCAACACAGATGTGGTGCGAGAGCAAGGCTGTGCCAGTCCCTCATCAGGGTGAAGAGGGGTGGGAACTTGGAAGGCATTGCCAATGGGAGAAATCGGCGGTGCTAGCGGCGAGCAATGGCCAGTCACTGCACCTCCCCCTACCCCCCCCTAACCCCACATGGCGGTGTCTAATGGCCAATATTGTCGCTGCATAGCAGCCAACAACATCAGCCAAGGTTCTGCCAATGCTGGCTTGGGGGGCCAACGGGTCAAGTGGTGTGGAACGAGGCTCTTCTTCTTCTTCTTCTTTTTCTTTTTTTTCTTTTTTAACAAAAAGTCGTTCCAGGCATTTCTGCTGCCCAACCCAGGAATCTTTTTCACAGATAGCTGAAGGAATACTCACACAAGTATGGCTCTCAAATTCGTCTGAATGTATCTGCCGGCAATTACGGCCTGATGTGGATGCATCGGGTCACAATCCTGTCCAGAGCTGAGTTGAAAACTTCCTAGTGTGCAAAAAAGAACAAAAGGTTATGGGATCCACACCGGACGGGCTGAAGACAGGCGTCTTCATTGTGGGAGGTCTGTGGTTGGGGATGGGACTGGCCTGGAGTGCCTCTCCCAGCCCGGTTCGGCAAACATGTGAGGAACGCCCGGCCGTTTCCCGGTTTATAACGCAAAGTCTCTTTTGTGAGTATGCCCCTGCTAGTAAACATCTCACCGAGCTGGGAAATGGGAATGTAGTGGGGGCCGACCCAGGGGAGATTGCGGGGGGTGAAAGTCAGGGTATTGGAAAGGAGTCAATCCAGCCGCATGTTCCCCTCCATCTCTCTCTCTCTCTCTCTCTCTCTCTCTCTCT